GGCGAGCGCTGGCTTTCTGGATCACGGAGGTCGCCGCCTGGATAGTGACTGCAGCTAGCTTATGCAACACTCAAGGTAGGAGAAGCCGGTCACGGGTGACATTGCAACTGTCGGAGTCTCGGATAGATTTTTTGGGGTTCTGAAATGACTGTCACAGTCTGGGCTGAGGCTAGCAGGCTAGCAGTCATTGTCATTTCGAGATGGTCGATACATAAGATATCTTTTGGATTCTAGATTATCATGATATTCCAGCGATTTTTCTTGCTAGCTGCGGAGTATGTAGGCCCTTGGGCTTTAGGGTTTAGGGTTTCCTGGTGCAAAAACCCTGCAAAAGGGTGGTTGTCGCCCAAGAAAGGACAATTTTGCCCCCTTTGAATAGGGCCGCCTTATATTTCTATTAGAAATATGGTAAAGTCCTGTTAAGGGAAAGCAAAACCGGCCGCAACAAGCCCATAAGCCTGATCGCCTGCCTTTGTCGTGGAGCTCGCCCATCTCTCTGGTCGGGCCTTGGGGAGCAGAGTACTATGGTCAGAATGCAATTGCCGGAGTCTCGGGTTGAGCGCCATCCATTTTCGGGGCTAGTCCATTCGGCAGGTGAGTTGTTACACACTCCTTAGCGGATTTCGACTTCCATGACCACCGTCCTGCTGTCAAAATGAACCAACACCCTTTGTGGTATCTGATGAGCGTGCAATTAAGCACCTTAGCCCGACGTTAGGTTCATCCCTCATCGCCAGTTCTGCTTACCAAAAACGGCCCACTTAAAGTTTTCATTTATCCCAGAAGTTCAATCAAGTAACCACTGTGGATCTTACCCATTTAAAGTTTGAGAATAGGTCGAAGACAACGCGTCCCCGATTCCTCTAATCATTCGCTTTACCTGACTGGTTCTCGCACTCGGTGCTGAGGCTCCGGGCTCCCAGCAGCTCAGCACTCCTCCCAAGTGTGAAAATGGACAGTAGGGGGTTTAGGGTTTAATTTAGGGTTTAGGGTTTAGACAAACAGACAGACAGGGACAAACAAACAGAACAACAAAAAAACAGGCCATCCCCGGAAGAGCGCAGAAGCTCCGCCAGGATCGAGAGGAAGGTGGCAGCAGAGCGTGGAAGCTCCGCCACCGCCGGCCGAGCGTGAAAGCTCAGCCAGCAAGGGTACCGCCCCAGCCGAGCGCGGAAGCTCGGCCAGGACGGTGGCAGCAGAGCGTGGAAGCTCCGCCACCCCCAGCCGAGCGCAAAAGCTCAGCCAGGATACCGCCCCGGCCGAGCGCGGAAGCTCGGCCAGGACGGTGGCAGCAGAGCGTGGAAGCTCCGCCACCCCCAGCCGAGCGCAAAAGCTCAGCCAGGATACCGCCCCGCCGAGCACAGAAGCTCGGCCAGGACGGCGGCAGTAGAGCGTGGAAGCTCCGCCACCCCCGGCCGAGCGCAAAAGCTCAGCCAGGATACCGCTCCGGCCGAGCGCGGAAGCTCAGCCAGGACGGTGGCAGCAGAGCGTGGAAGCTCCGCCACCGCCGGCCGAGCGTGAAAGCTCAGCCAGGATACCGCCCCGGCCGAGCGCGGAAGCTCAGCCAGGACGGTGGCAGCAGAGCGTGGAAGCTCCGCCACCGCCGGCCGAGCGTGAAAGCTCAGCCAGCAAGGGTACCGCCCCAGCCGAGCGCGGTAGCTCAGCCAGGATGGCAGAAGAAGCCGGCCGAGCGCGAAAGCTCAGCCAGCAAAAAGAAACGGTACTGCCCGGCCGAGCGCGGTAGCTCAGCCAGGCAGCCAAGACAAAAAACCCCCTAAAACCCTGCCAACCTGCCTGCAAGCACAGCGGCTCTCGCAGGCCTGAATTTAGGGGGACCCTTTATTTATTTTTTGGTTTGGGGTCTATAAGGGTACTAGAATAGGGCGTTGAGGGTTTGGGGTTCAGGGTTTCGGGTCTAGTCACTAGTCACTCCTCTTAGGGGGCCTTGAAGAGTTTAGGGTTAAGAGTTTAGGGTTTAGGGTTTAAGGTTTTAGGGTTTTAGGGTTTAGGGTTTAGGGTTTAGTGTCATCCTTGAGCAGGGACTATGCTCATCTACTCTGTATCGGAACTAAGACCTTAAATTCAAAACCCAAACAACATCGAACCCTAAACCCATAACACACTAATGTCAAACCCCAAACCCAAAATCCACCTATCCCTGAACCAACCCCGTCTCCCCGCCTCACCGCTGCTCAGCGCTCCAGTGTCCAGCGCAGCGAGTTTTTGGGCTTCGGTGCTTCAGGGTTTTAAGGGTCTTAAGGGTTTAAAGAGCTTAGGGCTTCGATGCGCATGCGACCTGTGATTGAAAATGGCCTGCAAGACAGGGGTTGATTTAGGTACTACACAACCCCCCAGAACCCCTGCTATCGGCCCGCCCTGGGAGATTCGCAAGTAAATGTCAAATTAGAGGATCTTTCGACAGACTGGAGGACTGCTTGTAAACAACCAAAGCAACATAACGATGTTCGATTACCCACCCGATGTTTCAGAATGTCCCCCGTGGTCTATCGCTGTTGTTCGGGAGTTTCCCCCGGGATCTACAGGCAGGGCATCGAAACCAAAGCCGACTCGTGGTGCATTTGCTGGGTCATGTTTTGCAATCAAGTACACTCTTAAGGACGAGTCATAGCAGCAGCATTTGGCAAAGGCAATTTGGGAGATGACCCAGCATTTATGGTTTCGACTGGCAAGGATGAAGCAACAGCTTGTGAGTGTAAGGCAAGAAGTAGGAGCAGCAGCAATTGGCAGGGTTTTTCGGGAGCTTATTTGTCTGGCCACTTGTTCCCCCGATTACAAACCTCTCACAACCTACGACAACAAAGATGGTCACCAAAGTTCATTATCGGGGACACAAGTTCAATGGCCTTCCCCCGCTCAGACGGCCACTCAGATTGGCCCATGTCTGTCGTTGAAGCCTCCGTGTAGTCGTCGGCGACGGTGTTCAGCAGGACTCTCATCGCTTCCACTGGGTACGTCTTCTGTGGGACTGCGTTTTTCCAGGGTCGAGGGTCGTACATCTTGATGTCCCTCAGTAGGCGCATTGCCCAGCCCATGGTGCCTTTCTTGAAGCCACCATTCCCCGATCGCTGGGGATGTCATTGGTGGGTCCAGAATAGGGGGCATGCTCCCCCCAGCAGCGGCTTGTTGTCCCCCGGCATGATCGTGTACAGGAGCTGCTTCGGGGAGTACAGGTAGTGCAGGTAAAAGAGCATTCTCCACTGCCTCCAATGTTTGGAGAAGAGCGCGGTGGATGGTGTTGAGTTCCCCGCCGGGCCATTCTTGTAGCTGGTCTTGTAGATCTTGGAGCTCCATGACCACATTGCGAGCGAGGCGTTGTCGGCGGTCGCGTGCCAAGTTCGATGTCACTATTCCCCGGTGTTCAGCAATAACGTCTGCCGGATGGCCCACGGGGTCTCCCCGTTCGACGGCCCCCAGGTAGTGCACCACGTCAGCGAGGAGGAGCCAGTGCTCTCGTTGCTGTGGTTCCATTTGCACGCCTTGTAGTGCGGTACCTAGTTGCCCACGAATCGTTCCCGTATTGAAGATGCCCGGCTGGTACTGCAGGTTGGCATCCCCCGTCCCCCACTGTTGGGGGTTTCCATCTCTAGCGGTCGCCATGGCGTGAAGGTGGCTGTTCAGCCATGCTAATACTACATCGATATCATGTTGTATGCCGTAGTATGAGACACACTCATGGCTGCAAGCCGCGCTCAGTCGCTGTCGGGCTTTGCTGTGGATTCGCTGTAGGGCCTGCTGTGTTGTTGAAGGGTGTTGTTTGTCTGTTTTTGCTTTTTTGGGGTCCGGCTCCCCCTCGGTGTTGCGATCGCTGGGGAATTCCAGCTCAAGCTGCCTCAAGACTTCGGCTTCTGTTTGATCATCTACCAGCAAGTCGGCCAGTGCACATTCGGCCAAGTGGGCTATCATGTTCCCCCCAGGAAGTTGGTGGGAGAGCCTATAAATGCGGGTGAGGTAGTGCTCAATGCGATCGGTAGCCGTTGGTGTGGAGCTGTGGGTTGGTGGCATCAGGGGCTGATCGGCATCGTTGGCATCTTGGGTGCTGTTTTGAACGGTTTGCGGTGGTGGTTGTTCAACCGGTATCGCAGTTGCTTGCTGTGGAAGTTGGCTGGTTTGGGGCAAAGGAGCGGCTCCACGTTGGAGTGCTTGGTGGATGTGTTGCATTAGGTTGGTCTCGTCATTGCCAGTGGTTGTTGAAGCTGTGGTTGTGGTAGTTGTAGTGGAGCTTGTGTTTTGGGTGGTTGTTGTCTCGCCCGTCGCGGATTTGGGCGAAGAGGTGAATGGGTGGTGCAGGCTGGGCTGGAGCTGCAGTGGCATCCTGTGTGTCTTGTTTATCCTTTCCCCGAGTGCCTCGGAGGTCTCGTTTGTCAACGAGAGCACTGAAGTTGCTTGGTGGTTTTGGTGGTGGTTGTTTGGCTTGAGTGGTCTGCTGGGGATTGCTCTTCTTCGTCTTTTCGTGTGTTGGTGGGTCGTATGTGTCAGCTGCGAAGTGCACGTGCTTCTGTTCTTTTTGGGAGGGTGTTCCCCCATGGGTGGTGGAGTTGGGTGGTCTGCTTGTGCTGGATGTAGGGGGGGGTTCGTTGCTCCCCCGTGCGGTGTTTGCTGTAGGTGGCAGCGGGGTTTTAGGACGTGCGGGGGTGGAGGTGGTTTGCTGTCTCTCTCTCTCTCTCGCTCCTCGTCTTTCACACACGAGAAGGGCGTGATGCCCTTCCTGCACAAAAGCGTGCACTGGTTTGTTTTCAGGACGTCATCTTTCCATGACACCTTCGGGGTAGTCTCGAGAGGCTGGCTGCGCACCGGGCCGGCGAAGCAGCAGCAAGAAGTCCGCGACACTACGGACAACAGCTACATACCACAATGAGCTAGGGTTAGGCTCTAAAGAAGAAGGTGCCCTTTTCCTACTATTCAGTCAATTTAGTCCTAACAGGAATTCCAAGAAGAAAAAGGGCAAAAGGGTGCTTCTGGAAAACCTAGTGTAGTGGTGCCTGCTGTGGAGAAGCCAGCAGCCGCACTTCGAGGCCCTCTTTCTCAAGGGACGTGGCCAATTTCAGCCTCAGTTCGGGCCTTCGTGGGCTCGGGAACTCGGGCCAGTTTCTCGATGCATCGATTGCTTGAGCCAAGTTGCTCTGAGAGGCAGGAGCTGGATCCTTCAACGGCATTGACATCGCGGGGCAATCGTCTTGGACAGACACATGACCCTTGCCCCTGGCGGAGACGAAACATCAATGCCAGCTGAAGCGCGGCTCCCCGCACATCAACCATTCATACAGACACCTGTCCTGTGAAGGAGGCGATGTCACATGGCGGCAGAAGTAGCCACACGCGGCCAATGCGTCGCATCCGACTCGCCTGGGCTTCTGGAGAGCCCGTTAACTGCTGTTTCGACGCTCACACTCGCACTGTTTAGGGAATGGGGACCGATACGCCGACTTGTCTGTTCGGCCTGAGAGGTGGCCGTTGCGGTGCTTCGCATGTTGCCGGAGAAGCAGCGCAGCCTCGAGAGTGGTTGCAGCGTCAGCAAACGGCGGGACACCGACGGTATCGCATGACAGTGCACGTGGCAACAGACTCAACTATTGATATCCGACAAACTGCACGAACAGCCAAGTGGCCACACGTAGGTGCTGCCCATGTGCAAGCCGGCATCTTCACAGTGGGACTTCAAAGCATCGACCTGAAGAAGCCCAGATTCGGTCTGGAAGTTGCGCTATGAGGCCAAGAGGAAAGGCATCGGCGAGGTCACGGAGCGAGGCAGTAGAAGCACAGCACCTCAGATGTCCCACAAAATCACAATCAAGAACCGCAAAGAAGCGGCAATGCTAACAGGACGGTGCCCGTTTGCCAGGGTTATAGTCAAGGGGCAAGTAGTGAGTAGCAGGACCAGTGTCTTCTCCGCCTGCCGGCTGAGGATACAAGCGTTTCGGATTCGAGTTTCGGATGTTTCGGTGGATGTAAACTTGCGTAAAACTGCGGCATACTGCCTGCCACTGAGTCTTCCTGCCCCGGCCTTCTAGTAGCGAGATGTAGGAGGCTGCAACCTCTTCGCCCTGGTCATGCGAACAGAGCATGGGAGCCCGGGCTGCACTGTGACAGGGGTGGTGGCGACGTGTGCTGACCTGGCGTGAGGCAGCATCGATTTGTTGAATGATCTGGGCCTCCGCATCCTGGTCAGACAGCGATTTTCGTTCCGTCTCAGACTAGGCCCATCGGAGCCTGGAGGCTGGAGCTCGCAGGGAGCCCCTGAGATTCGAGCTCCTGGGGCAAGGAAGCGTGTCGGACTACACAGAAGCAGGTTTTGCCTTGACAGCACCGGAAGGCAGCCTGAGCGTAAATTTGCAGGGCAGGTTCCCCATTCCGCTTCATTCGCTTCCTACTTCGTGCCCTCTAAAGCATGCCAACCGACGTCCCTTGACAGCAAGGCTGTTCAGTGGTCCATGGTTGCTCTGGACCAACTCTTGGTCATCTCCGGTCAGACAAGGGTGCACTGGCATGGTCAGGAGGCGGCGAAGGAACCCCGCCAGCATGACCTTCGCTCCTGGACGAACGTGCAAAGGTAGAGGACGCTCACTCCCAGATCCTCTGGGCTCCTTCCATCCACATCCAGGCGCATTCAGGCTAGTAGGTCAGTAGGTGCTCTAGACTCTAGATGCGCTGCAATTGCTTTCCAAGGCTCACATGCCTTCGACCGCCGGCCTCGAGAGCCTGACATCCACCAAAGAAACACTGGATGCAGTGTGTCCGCGTCCTGTATCTGTCTAGTCGGAGAGTGCTGCGTTTATGATGCACACTTGGCGGCTTCTCGCAGATTTCCTAGTCGTGCACGTGCCCCGCCCCGAAGCCTGAGCGTTTCCTTGCTGAAGCCGCTTCTCCAGTTCAGCTACCTGGAGACAGATACGAAGTTAAGCGAGCTCGTACATGCACCGATGCTACACTCGAGCGGCTTGAGCAGCGCCTTGTCTTTCTCAGATTGCAGCTGCTGCTCCAACACCAGCACCTGCAGAGTCGAAAACTGTCTTGGGATGTCTTTGGCATACCCTCGGCCTTCGACTGCTCTTGCTGAAGTAGCATCGCATATGGGCTCTGGACCTCCTGAGCAGTCGCAGGATGACTCTGCAGAATCTGCAAGAGCTTGTCTGGCCCCACATGGAGCTCCTAAACTGCCTATGGAAAACTGTCACAGAAACATGACTCTGCTCGACATGCCCATTGTAGTCCAAGTCAATGCATCGTCAGCCGGCCTCGTTGCTTTGCTGCGGCTGTGGAGGTGGTCCGCTTTCCTGTAACATGTACAATGTACACGTAACACGTGCATTCTTTGCATACCAGTATCTGCAGTGATGAACACATCATAACAAAAAGCTAATTTGGTTGCCGCGGCTGCGATGTTCGAAATGCCTGCCGTATTTGATCGCTTCTTTCTTGCGGGCATGACATAGCTGTCAGAACCCGAGCTGCATGGGTAAGACTTTAGATTGGGGCACGGATACCAGAGGATGCACTGCAAAATAAAGACGAAGCATGACAGCTGATGGATCTCCTTTCCTTTTCCGACAACTGGCAGATGCAGCGAACTCCTGGATTGCTTGGAGAATGTAAACTGCGAGAGCCATGAATCGCCAGCTCCACCACTGATCTGAACCCCAAAGGCTCTGCCAAAAGAGTAAGTTACAATGCCCCTGGGCTCTGGACCTGCTGCTCCATGGATTGTTGTCGGACTTTCGGTGCTGAAGGCTTCCACAATTCTACCTGTGGATTCGTTTGGAGCGCCACACTCTGCCACATCTAGCACAAACACCTGCCTCATCTTCAGTCCGCCGCGTAGGATGCTCGTCAAGCTTGGCCTTCTTCCGCCCAAACTTTGCGTACAAACACAAACCCAAACGAACACACCGAGAGATGCGCGCGCGCGTGCGGGTGTCCCCCCGAAAGCACGCACAGCAGACCGCGAGTCCACGGTCAGGTCTCGGTGTGAGACAAAACTCTCACTCGCATCCTGCCACTGCAACTTTTGCAATAAAATGACGCTTCAAACTGTACACATCCCGCGAAAAACACATCAAAACGACAGGCTCCCACTCCACATTGGAGAAAAGCCAGCTGAGCAACACATCAGTGGGCTTGGCGGTACGAGCTCACTACACGACTACACGACTGCCACTAGGAAGCAGCAGCACGCCCACCGAAAGGTCCAAAGTCGTTGAGGTACTCGAAAGCATGTAGGCCAGACGAAGGCGGCTTGAGAGGCGACCACACTCCCAGCTAGCCAGCACCAACCATCTCAACTGCATCTCACAACGACCGGGCAACCAGAAGAGGTGCTCAGCCATATACCACTTGGTTGTTGTGGCTGACCACTACAGGGCTGCACAATCGCGGGCAGCAACACCACCCAACAAGGGAAACGCAATATTTGGCAGTAGGCGATATGCATGCATGTATAGGTCTGGTGCAAACACGATTAAGCGATACCACGCAGCTCGGCATGTGCTTCAAAGTGCGCCCGTGCGCATGCACACCATCGAACGATCCACAAGCACAAAAACACTCGGCAAAATCATGACACTGCAGAAAAGGTGACAGGCCGTGCCTGAAGCTTGACCTTAACCTTGAATATTGGGCTTGTGCACAGCCCGGCCGCCTGGCAGAAATCGCAGCAGAAGGATAGAGTGGTTTGCAAGCAATCGGCGAGGCACTCCGTTGCCTGGCCATCTTCCCCTTGCTGGCGTGATGGCTCCACTGCCTGGACGATGTTCTCGTGAACGATGTAGCTGGATTCAGGAACCCCCTTGTCCTTTTCCTGCTGGGGCAGCGCATGGTCCAGCGCCTGATTACTCAAGACATGACTTCCACCAATGCTTGATTGTACAAGCCGCAGCCAGCGCTGAAAGCTGAAGCTCAAATCAAGTGTCGTATCCCAGCCTTGCTCCGTTCTTCCAGCTGCCGCTGGAAACTTGCTGCCTGAAGGATGCCCAGCGGCTCTATGCCGAGGTTTGGCGCTTGTTTCAAAACAGCATCTCCCACAGGTCAGGACTCGTGCGAAGCGGCATGCTCAGGCTTTTTTGATGAAGCGGGGACCACAGCTGTGCCTTTTCGCTCTCTTCTTGCAGCCGTCGCTCCAACTGCACCACCTGCACACGTACAAGGCATGTCTTCTTGTCGAAACATGTAAACGATCACCCACACGATCACCAGTTGAACCCTCTCGAGATACATGCAAAATGGCTGGATTCATTTTGGCTTCCGCCTTGTCCTTTTCCTGTTGGAGCAGCGCTGGGTCCAACGCCTGCAAAACGCAAAACATTCCGACCGCTTCCCAACTGTAAAATCCAGTGCTACAAGCTGAAGCTCAAATCATGTGTCGTATCCCAGCCTTGCTCCGTTCTTCCAGCTGCCGCTGGAACCTTGCTGCCTGAAGGATGCCCAGCGGCTCTATGCTGAGGTTTGGCGCTTGTTTCAAAACAGCATCTCCCACATCTTTGGCGGTCAGGACTCGTGCGAAGCGGCATGCTCAGGCTTTTTTGATAAAGCGAGGACCACAGCTGTGCCTTTTCGCTCTCTTCTTGCAGCCGTCGCTCCAACTGCACCACCTGCACACGTACAAGGCACGTCTTCTTGTCGAAACATGTAAACGATCACCCACACGATCACCAGTTGAACCCTCTCGAGATACATGCAGAATGGCTGGATAAATTTTGGCTTCCGCCTTGTCCTTTTCCTGTTGGAGCAGCGCGGGGTCCAACACCTGCAAAACGCAAAACATTCTAATCGCTCCCCAACTGTAAAAAACCAGTGCTACAAGCTGAAGTCAAGTCATGTGTCATATCCCGGCCTTGCTCCTTTCTTCCAGTTGCTGTTGGAAACTTGTTGCCTGAAGGCTGCGGCTCTACGCTGAGATTTGCATTTCAAGAAGGCAGCTCGCATGTCTGCTGATCCCGCGGTTCAACTCAAGCGGCCAGAACTCGTGCGAAGTACCATGAACAGGGCATTCTGCAGAAAAGAAGATTCGGAAAACACACATCAACCTTCAAGAGCCAATGTGCTGCTCTGTTCTCCACTGCCTTGCCTTGTCGCTCTCTTCTTGCAGCCGTCGCTCCAACTGCACCACCTGCATACATACAAGACATGGCTTCTTTGCAATGGCTTGTTTTGTTCGGCTTGCTGCCTTGTTTTCCCAACTGGGTGCTGTTGACTTCCGTCGAGACTGGCTGGATTCACACTAGCTTCCGCCTTGTCCTTTTCCTGTTGGAGCAGCGCGGGGTCCAACGCCTGCAAAACTCAAAACATTCTAATCGCTTCCCAACTGTAAAAAACCAGTGCTCTACAAGCTGAAGTCAAGTCATGTGTCATATCGCGGCCTTGCTCCTTTCTTCCAGTTGCTGCTGGAAACTTGTTGCCTGCAGGCTGCGGCTCTACGCTGAGATTTGTATTTCAAGAAGGCAGCTCGCATGTCTGTTGATTCTGCGGAGCAACTCAAGCGGCCAAAACTCGTGCGAAGTACCATGAACAGGGCATTCTGCAGAAAAGACGATTCGGAAAACACACATCAACCTTCAAGAGCCAATGTGCTGCTCTGTTCTCCACTGCCTTGCCTTGTCGCTCTCTTCTTGCAGCCGTCGCTCCAACTGCACCACCTGCATACATACAAGACATGGCTTGTTGTGCATGATTTGTAACTGAACGCTTTCGAGATGCATGGAGACTCACTAGCTTCGCAGCAGCAGCCGCCTTGTCTCTTTCCTGCTGGAGCAGTGCGGGGTCCAGCGCCTGAAGGCTAAAGACAGCTCTTCTAGACAAAGCTTAGTGCCAGCGGAATTTTCAACTAGTTTCAGCTGCGTTGGACTCTGGCTGCCGAAAAAAGTAGCCTTCTTAACATGTGCTGGGGTGCTGGGGGCTGTCTGTCTTTTCCAGCTGCCAGCAATCACTTCTTCAGCTGATGTGTTTCACCCACGAATGCTCTGCGCGACCGTGGGTGCCTTGTCTTTTTCCTCTTGCAAACGCCGCTCCAGTTCAGCCGCCTTAGCTGCTCAAGATCAAGGAAGATCGCCACTGTTTTACATCACGAGCGCCTTCTCCTTCTCCTTGGCAGCCTGCTCCAACTCAACCTGCCAGCTACCCAGCTCGCAACGTTGAGTACCACGACAGAGTCAGAGAAGCGCAGACCACCAAACCGTCGGCATACGGCCGGGGCGGTCAGGCCACGGGTCCGACAGAATCTTGGAGACGCGAGCAGCATGAAACCGCAAGAAACACCTAAACACTCCTTGCAGGCAGCCCAATGGCATTGATTTGCATTGGTCACTAAGCTCAGCGAACAGATGAAGAGTCTTCTGCAGGTCTCACTTGCGATGAGCTCCGCACTTATCTGAAATTTGCTATGTATCAACTTTGCCGAGTTATGCCCCGGCTGGGAGGTGCAAATGAGTGCAAAACCAGGCCTTCGCAACTTGCAGGCGCTGCTGAAGCTCCGCCACTTCTTTTGCTGCGCTTTGTGCCTGCTGCGCGGCACATGCTCGGTTGCTGAGTGCTGTTCTGGTACCAATCACAGTTGGGCACCGAAAGTACAGGTTGTACCCGCAGAGCATCAAGGAAGATCGGCACAGTCAAAGACGCAGTTGCAGCGCTACAATTCACCCCTTACCGCAGCCGTCTCCTGGCAAAACTGCTGCTGCAAGTCAGCATTTTCTTTGGTGAGCTGCTTTGCCTGCACACACGGACACGAGCATAGTGTACCGCAGCCAAGGACAAAGCTTGCCTTGTCAGACTCCTCCATCAGTCTCTTCTCCAGATCAGCTGCTTCGTGCGAGCTCTTGGCAACCTGCACACATCGGAATTCTGGGCACAGAAGAGCGGGCATTGTTGCAGGCCTGTCCATGCAGCGCACCAATGCGATTGGAGGTCCGCTCGACCTCCTGCAAACCGACAAATTTTACAGACTAGCGTCAGTGTCAGCACTTCACTGCACCGGTTTTAAGCATAGACTGCCTCGCCAGGCTCGACCCGTTAGAACGGCTAGCTTTTGACACTGTGACGTTTTCTCGCCTCCAGGGCATCAGTGCGGGCCTGCTGCAGCTGCTCCTGCAAGGAGGTAGCTACTAACGGTTGCTGACGGTTTGTCTGGCTGCTTCGCAGCCTTGAGAGCGTTGATGTGGGCTTCGGACCTGTTTGAGCCCGCGAGTGATGTGGCTGGGCAAGCTTGGAGCAATCAGAAGTCTAGACGAGCAGCGAGGAAGCGTTCGACTTCTCGCGCTCCGCCACCGTTTCCACCATGAGCTGGAGCTCTTTGTTTTCTTTCCTGCAGATGCAAAAAGAACATGCAAAAAGGCCATGAAATTGCAAGCTGCCAGTACCAGCAGCTGCAGCAGCTGCCAGTACAAGTCGACCGCCAAGGCACCAGAGCTCCGAGCAGCGGGTCTCGCTGGCCTCCAAAGACGGGACGGAGCTCGTCCACGACGCGTTCCACGTGCCGCAGGCGAAAAAACTGCGGATTCCGGCCCGCAGCTGGTTGTTCTCTGCTTCCGCCCTGGTCTCCGCATCCACGGTGGCCCAAGTCTGAACCTTGCAACGAAGGGCCGATGATGGCCGATGCATGCGGTTTCATGCTACACCGACCGGATCCGACAGGGTCAGAGCTAGGACTGCACTGAGTGTCGAGAATGTCTTCGAGACTCTCGAACCCCAATCAGAGTGCCTCCAACTTCTGGGCCAACTCGTAAACGTTCGCCTCCAGCGCCTCCAGCATTGCCTGATCCCGCGCTTCGTGCTTCTGTGTCCATACATATTCGGGAACTATGTCCCCTGTGCCTTGCCTGCACCCTGTACATCTCTTCAAGATGCGGTGTCTGCACCTCCACAAAAACCGGTGCAAGGCATGCATTCTGCAACCAATCTATACTGGCACCCTTTGTCCAGATCTAGTCAATGTTCCTGCCAAACAGTGCGCCAACTGATTGAGTTTCGCTGGCGAGATCTCTACCCTACGAGAGGCGAGCCTCCTTGCTGTCAACTTCCACTTGCCTCAGCCGGCATGGGGAACAGCAAAAGTTGGCCGCACCACCGCCTCTTGCAAAGCTCCGAGTCTTCGGCTTGGCAGCGAACGCTTGAAGTGCTTCCTGACTAGCATGTCCACATGCAAGAAACGAAGAATGGCATGGCGGCCGACACCGCTCATCACCGCTTCATGCTAGGCACCTGCAGCTTAACGGTCTTGGCTTTCTCCGCGCTGAGCTCCTTCCCAGACAGACCCTTCGAGCGAGACAACTTGGGGGGACTCCCGCCCACGTCCTCTTCGAAAGCCGGTTGGAGCCTCTCCAGGTCGCCTCAGAGGCCGTGGCCAAGGGGCAGAGGCAGGGGCTGATATGGGGAGAAGTGTGCTCCTTGGGTCGGGTGACTTCTGGCGGCTGCCAAAGCTGTCGAGAGCTCCGCCGTCTCGGTGGACTTGGCGTGCAGCTGTGCTGCCAGCCGTGCCATCTGCTCAGCAGCAGCGCCTCAGAAGGAGATCCAGTCACGTGTTTTTTTCGGCATCTTGTCACTTTTTTGCATTTTTGTTTTATGGACACTTGAGCCTAGGCTCAATGGGTCTTCTTTTGTGGAGCTCTTTTTGGCTTGGGATTCATATAAGCGGCATGGGAGGATCCCAGGGACTGCGACTCCTTGAAGAGTTCTACATAGATGTAGTAGGATCCTTGTGAAAAGGACCCCAAAATCAAGTGCCCTGATTTTCGGAAACTCCCCGTCCCAGGACCCGTGCATCAGCTGAGCAGAAGGCAGCAGCATCTGTTCTATGAGTTTGCATTATCTGAGCTGGAACTTCCGCGGCTGCTGGCACACGACTTGCCTGCCCTTAACGGTAAACGCTGACTCCCCAAGACCATAGACCCTGGACTCTAATCATAAACCCCGAATCCTCAAACCTGCATATCAAACTTCCATAATGGCTTCCTGCTGGGCTCCTGGTTGCTTGCTTGCCTGCCTGCTTGCCTGCTTGCGTGCGTGCTTGCTTGTTTCCTTGCTGGCTTGCTTGTTTCCTTGCTGGCTTGCTTGCTTGCTTGCTTGCTTGCTTGCCTTCCTGCCTGGGTGCTTGCTTGCTTGCTTGCTTGCTTGCTTGCTTGCTTGCTTGCATGAGCATGAGAAACGGAAATTATATAAAAAACAACTGAAAAATACTGAACAAACAGCGCCACCAAGGAGATGCGTTTTGTCCCAGAGCTACTAGACGTGCATCCGTGCATCTCACCCTCACTATATAAAACCTCGGATGATGTCCGGCTCTTCGGCCCCAAAGTTTCTCAAGCCCAGGGCACGCTGCTCCTCGCTGAGGCGTTGCTCGAAGTTGGCCTGGCAGGGCGAAGAAATGATGTTTAATCAAGGAGAGTTTCAGGGGTGGCGAAAGTCCGTTCCAAGAGCAGGGCCTTTAGCTCGGCGGCCTTGGCAATGTTGTGCCGATCCTCATGGAGACGCCGTGTCTCTTCTCTACGCCGCTACGTTACGATCCCAGAACGGAGCCTCGGCCTCTCCGCGAGCTTCGGCACTGCGTTGGGCAGCCATGGCAGCCACCTGCGCCTCCGGACAGAAAAGCAGAGCTCTGCCGAGATCCTCCCTACAAGTACTGCCCGTTGGCTCTTCGACGCTGTTCGAGGCCTCCAAGTCCACCACTTGCCGTCTGGCCGCCCCAAGATCCTAGAGCTGCGATCTGCTACCCTCAACACCTGCTGCCGTGCTTACCTTCTGCCTTCCGCTGTGCAGGCAGGCGCTGCATCATTAGCTCTAAGCTGTGAGGTTTAGCCGAGGCTCTGTAGCGAGAGCCGCACACCTACAGCTGCAAAAGGCGAGACGCACACGCACCGGGGACCGACTACACGCTGTTTTCGGCAGAGCTGCTGCTGAGAAAGCCGGCTGCTGCTGACATGCTGCGCCTGCACGCATGTGAAGCTCCGACCGAAAAGACCACGTCTTGCTTGGAGCAGAGACCCCCAGCCCGCAGCAACAGCCTCCAGGTCGGCAATCTTTGCGTGAGCATCCTGCAGTCTTTGGGCTTGGGACGAAAGCGTTGCGACTGGCGTTCCTTCTAATGTCTCCTTGAGCTGAGAAGCCGCTGATGTGCACTGACGCTCAAGCTCCTCCGCGGCTACACGGACGGAGCTTTCTCAGCACTTGCCCACAGAACCTTTGCTGCGGGCCTGCTCCCGCAAGCTGAGCTTGGCCTCCCACTCAGCTCGGGAAGATGCACTCTGGACCTCCTGGCGCAAGGGAAGTTGGAAGGCTTGCATGAACAACCGCCCAAGCTTTTTTTGCCAAGGCTCGGCACTCAGCATCGCATGATACTGCGATGCTTGGCGGTCAAACCTCAGGCTGGAACAGTGTTCAGCTACAGGCTGCAATTTACATGATGAGCACCCATCCCTCCCCCGGCACAAGATAGATAATGGTTGAGATCCAAGTTGCTCCCGTTGCTTTGACTCCAAGAGCAATTCCAGTTCGGACGCGCGCTTTTGAACCTTGGCTAGAGAGCTAAAGTGTCGGGACTGTTAAGCAAGCCCTGTAGCAAGCCCACCCTGAGAAAACGTCCACCAACCTAGGACCTTGTGGGAAGGCGGGGGTATGTCTGTCATGCACGCCAAGAATAAAGACAAGAGGCTGCCATGCGTTGCCTTGCACAAGTGTGCCACAACATTGGCAAGCCATCGGCATGCAAGACATGACTGCTAGCTCTACACTTGCATGGGCATGGCTTTACAGTACCTTTGCTTGCCTCAGAGACTCGTAATCATCATCAGCAATGTCCTTGTATATCCTGATACGTCCTGTGTATGTACTGCCAGTTTTGGATGAGAGCAGTGTAATTCTAAGTTCTGGAACTTCGCAAGTTTCTTAAGGCTCTCCGGGTTGCTCGGAAGTCGCCCTCAGCTGGGACTCAAGGTCGGCTGCTCGGGCGTGGGCCTGGGACTCTCTTCTCAAGACACTGCTTCCATGTCGTATATAGAAGCATCTATTAATTACTGACTAAACGTAAATGATCGTGCATCGTTGCCAAGACCCCTCTACCCCTTCCCCCCGCACCCCAGTCATGGCGTGATGCCGTGTGGGTTGCTGGGCTGGGCGGATGGATGGGTTCGGGTTTGGCCATTTCGTTCGGGGAATAAACGCCCTTTGTTGGCCTGGGTGGTTCTTGCACGTTCTGGCTTCATCCCCCATCAAGGCAGTTGGCTTGCCTCCCTCGCAGTTCGTGGATGTAGGCAGGTTTGTTCTTCGTTCTGGTGTATGGCTAAAGAAGGCTTTCTCTCGAAATGTATACATGTATTCTGTGTATGTTTGTAGGCACGTATGTCGCATGTAAGTATGTCTGCATTCACGTATGCTTTATCTAGCATCCACATCCGCTGGCTGCAGGACGGCGGCGCGGGGCGCGTCCTTGCTGAGCTCTGTGAGCCTGTGGTTCGAACTCAGACTTCCCCTGTACCTAGTATTCGTACAAGTAGTGAAGACTGACGCATGGCCATGCCCGTTGCTGCTGCACTTGCCGACCAATGTTCACATGAGCCGATTCTCAGGCCTGCTTTCCAGCTGCTTCTCTCTGGCCCGGCTGGTGCGCAGCTGCTGGTCAGCTGTTTCTAGCTGAGCCTGGACGAGGCCAAATTCAATGTCCCGAGATACGTCGAGGAAGTCGGGAAGCCAAGTAACAATGATAAGTGAAGTGGCTCAAGGCTGCATCGGAAGCTAAGTCTTCGACGGCCTGACCCTAAGCCCGGTTCAACAGCGCGACTCTCGAGCACCACACACAGGCCATAATGTTAGAGATGGTGCTGCCTCCCGCTCTGCTGCTTTGGCCCAAGCGGCGGCAAGCTGCTGCTCGAGCTCCTGTAGGGTCATCGGAGCATCGTAGATAGTGAATTCATTACCATTGGGTTCGCATGCTGCAAAATAACGGTGCAAATTAACAGCTTCACAAGTCTGGTCACTTTTTCATAAGGCAGGTCGCAACATGTGACGGTGTTCGCCCTCAAACCGGTTCGTGCGGTGTAGCTGCTGCAAGGTTGGCATTTTAGCAAAATCAATCACATTCTTGCTTGCACGCAGCCAAGAGCGGGTCGTAAACCCACTCCGCGCACGAGTGCACACTGGGTTAAGTCTGTGGTGAAAGTTTCCCCCTGGCTAGTACGAGGCGCTGGCTGGTTCCTGATTATTTGTTTTTCTCTCTCTCTCTTTCTTTCTTTCTGCCGGGCTTAGGGGTCGGTTGGCCGACCCTCAGGCGTTGCGCCCGCCCGTCCCTCACACTAGTGAGTGGACGGCTTTGGGGTACTCCAGATTAAGGCAGTGTACAACAAAATATGCCCCGAGTTGCAAGTAGAAAAGCCTCCCCGAACACTAAACACTCACACAACCCCGCCTCATCACCGCGCCCCTACGGCACTATCCTTAGTCAATAGCTGGTTCGGGGGGCCTGAAAAAGAACGCCGGACGAATTGTTGCTCCCCCCCGCCCGTAGGGTAAGGGAGCGCTGAATTTGCGGTAAAGAGGCGGATCAGACTTCGTCATGTGACGGCGGTGCAGCGAATTGCAGAAAACGGAGTGAGGCTGCCGTATGGTGGCAGTGGTAGCTGAAAGACTGGTTTATGTAACATATATGGTACAGAGCACATGCATTCCCCCGGCAGGGCTTGTTATGGAGAAAATCCCCCACTAAGTGGGGCGGGGCTCAGCTTACAGGGCACAGTTGAAAAGAGGAGGGCAAGAGAAACCGCAGAAACAAAATGAAACACCCCACGAAACAAACCGACTAATTAACCAACAAACCAAGTCGGCCTCGAATCCCCCCCTCACTGTTTGAAAAATTTTTTGCTGCGCTCACTCCGTCTCAGTGCTGGACCTAGTCGTGTACCCCTCTCTGCGTCGGGCCATGTACTCCTGTACCTCCCTCACTTGCCAGCCTATGCTCGGCACCAGGTTCGTTGTCGGTCTCCCCCTGGTACCACGTTGTGCTGCAGCACTTGGGTCTGTAAGCTGGCGCGGCCTTTTGTTTCGTGGTTCCCCCGCCATTGCTCTGGGCTCTCCTTCTGGCTCGGCGGGTCTCCTGCGGTCGGCTGTGTGCCTTCTTGGAGGAGGTTCCCCCAGTGGCTCCGCTGGCTTCGTTTGGTTGGCTTCCCGGTCTGAAGGTCTACCTTCTGCTCCCCACGGCCATTGTGAGTCAGCGTCCTGGTAGCCGTGGTAGTCTTCTTCGTCATGTCCCCCCGGGGTTGCACCTTGGTCGTCGTCGTCTGCGCGCCGTGGCGCCTCCCCGTCCTCATCTGCTTGGCTGGCTTCGCTTCCCCAGTCTGGCGGTGTATCCGAGGCACTGTTCTCCTTTCTCTCTCTCTCTCTCTCTTTCTCTTTCTTTCTTTCTGCTGGGCGTAGGGGTCGTCCAGACCCTCAGGCCATTGGCCCGCCCAACTCACCCACTGTGTTAGTGAGTGGTCGGCTTTGGGGCTTTTCCTGAGCTCGGCAGGGAACTACGTAGTGTGCCCCGGGATTTCTTGCAGCGAGCCCCACCCTTTACTCTAAACCGCCCGCGTCCCGGCCTCTTCTCCGCGCCCCTATGGCTACTCCCCCCATGTAGGGCTCGCCTGTGTGTTTCCCCCCGGTTGGCAGCACTAGCACGCAGGGTAACGTTGGTAGAAAGCAACCTGGGCACAGTTAACACGAAACAATGCCAGCGATGAGTGCTATGATCACTGCGTTCCCCTGCTCGTGTCTCCCCCTCGGGGCTCTTGGAAAGCTGCAACTACGCGGGTTTCCGGTGAGCACATGGTATGGCCCAAATAAGCACGAAAGCGTCCAAAAAAGAAAAGTTGGTTTCGCTCACCGGTCTCTCCCCGCCTTCGTGGGTTGTACCCCAGTTGCTGCTCACACGCGGGTACAACAGCAAACGTTTTAGCTTACCAGTGAGTACAACAGCTAGACAGCACGTGGCCTAGCACAACTGAGTTCCCCGACATGGTTGTGCCCTTCTAGGGCTTCGAAAAGTTGCGAGTTCTACGGGTCCCCGGCAAATGCTTAGCAACTGCAACCAACTGCACAACAAAACAGGGTGCAGGGTACAAGGCTCTGGTTCTTGGCACTCGCCGGTTCCCCCTCGGTGCTGCTGGGCCTCGCGCCTGTCGTTGCCTTTACTAGTACAAGAAGACATGCGTGTTCTCTGTGGCGGGTTGCCCCTACCGTCAAGCTACCTGTACTAGGGGTTCCACACACGGGCCTCATTCGAAACAGCCGGGCCTAGCACAAGAGTAGATGCAGTCGTACCTTGGGTCTCCAGGCTTATATTCCCCGTGGTGGCATCCAGCTGGTTCCTATGTTCCCCTAGCTCCCCCTCATGCCGGTAACGAAAGCAAAACTGCACGCAGCAACACTCACACGCCTGCCTAGGCTACCCTGTGCTAGTCATCCTGGTCAAGGGAGCTAGGGTTCGTGAAGCGGCGTCGCGGTTCAGGTGAGGTACGTCGTTGAACCTCAGTCCTCCTGCGCCTCGCTGCGGTTGTAGGTGTTGGCGAGGCACTGGCCGCCGCTTCTCCCCCGTCATCGCTCACCAGCTCGACTATCTCCCCTTTCCCCCAGTAGTCTTGGGTCCAGGCGTCGAGGTTGTTCAGGGCCTTGCGGAGGTGGTCCAGCAGCTCCCCCGTGAGAAAGGGTAGTAGTGCTCGAAGTTGTTTACCTGCCCGGAAGATCTTGAGGGCGTCCGGGGCCACTTGTGCCGGCCGCTGTTCTGGGCTTCCCCCCTGCAGCGCTATGACGCCGGCTGGGTGTGCAGGTACTCGTTCTGCTTCCCCTCTGTGCTCCCCACCAGCACTTCCACTCCGTCCGCGGCTGCCTCGAGCATGTTCCGCAGGCGTCCCAGCTCCATGTTCCCCACTGGGTACGTTGCGATCATCGCTTGGAGCATGGCCTCTGCTTCCTCCCCCGCGTCCGTGGCGTCGTGGGTTCGCTGCCAGTTACTGGAGCGTAAGCCTCCCCACAGCAGTGCTTGCCCGCTTTGTACGAGCTCCATGGTCTCAGCGAGCTCCCCTTCTGTTGGCGGGTCTCCTCTGCTCGCTCTTTCATCAAGCATCCCCGCCATGAGCGCGGCGATTTGGAACGCGTTCGGGGACGGTGGGGGGTTCCTCCCCCGTCTCCCTACGCTACCATCTGAGGCAAGGCTGAGGCTGGTGGCTGCGGCAGCGAGGTGTGCCTGGACCCCGTAAAGTTCGATGGAGCGTGCTAGCTCCATGGCCTCCATGATATGTTCTGCTGCTGCTGCTGCTGCCGCGGTTGTGTCTGCCTTGCTCCCCGTCACTCGCTCTGCGCCCTGTGCTCTGCGGTCCCGGACGTGCGGGTCTGGTGCTTCTGGCTCCTCCTGTGCTTGTTGTGCTGCCGCCAGGGTCTCTTCGGTGATGCTTCTCATGAGGTCTGCTGCTTGGTGCCTTGCCTTCTTAAGGGGGCTGTCGCTGGAGCCGGCGCCTTGCCCCCTTTTCCGCTCTTGCTCTGCTTGGAGTCACGGTAGGAGGTCGGGGTCTTCCTCCTCCGTGGTGTTGCCAGTGGGTGCTGTGGCTTGGGGGCTGGTTGCTCTCAGGGATGCTGCGTGCCATGGTACTGTGGTGCCTGTGTCATCTGCTGCTGCTTCAGTGGCCCGGCTGTGGTCGTGGCAGGTGGCTGCTGTGTCTCCCGGGTTGGGAGTGTCCTGCTCGTTGGGGGTGTCCCCCTTGTTGTGTTGTCGTGGTGTTCGTCCTGTCTGCATGAGTTCTGTGTGGTCTGCCTCTGGTGGATCCTCGCTGGGCCAGCTTGTCTCGGAGTCACTTGGGGGCGGAGGTGGGGGTCTTTTTGGTGTTGGCACCTGTCTTTGCTGTCTGTATGCTTGTGCCGGCTGGAGGGCCTTGCGTGCGGCTGCCGAGTAGAAGGAGAAAGCCCCCTCCCCGCGTAATGTTGGGGGCTGTGTGCTGGTGCGGGTGGTCCAGAGTGTCCTCTGGGGTGGCCGGTTTGCCTCTGGTCTGGTCTGCTAGGTCAGTGTCTGGCTCCGGCTTGTCTGGTTGTGTGCTTTCACTGGCCTCTGGGCCCGCGGCTGTGTAAGGTGTGGTTGGCGTCACGTCTGCTGTTGGTTTCTCCTCGCTGGCTGTGACCTCTCTGTCTGACCCTGAGGCTGCTGCAGTTGTTGGCTGTGGCTGTTCCGTTGCTTGCGTGTGGCTCTGAGGTTGTTGTGCCCTATGGTGGCTGGCCGGGAGGCTTCCCGCGCTGCTGCTCGCTGGCTGTGTTGGTTGCAGTCTGGAGTTGGTCGTCTGTGGCCGTTCCGCTGGCTGTGCTTGTTGGGGTTGGGCTGCTGCCGGCTGTGGCTGCGGTGGCTTTGTGGTTGTTGTGTGGCCCCCGTAGTGGGTGTCGGTCTCCCCTTGAGCGTGTGCACTGCCCAGGGGTGCACTGCTTCTTCCCCCCACGCTTCGTCTGCTGGGTAGATGAGGGGAAGTTCCCCCTCTTGCTGACTCCGTGCGAGAGGGCTGTTGCCCTGTAGGCTCGTGGTTCATGCGGGTCTCGCTCAGGGATCTGGACTGCGTGTCTCGCTGCCCGAATCGTGGGCGTCCCTCTGGAGCTGCTCTATTTCGTGTTCTTGCAGGTGTGCGCTGAGCTGGGCTGGCCTCCCCGTTGCGTCGAGGCGCGCGCGGGTGAGCAGCTCCCCGCTGCTGCATGCTGTGGCGTGGCTCCTGTGTCTGTGTCGGCTTCCTCCTCGTCGTCTTCTTCGTCGGGGTTGAAGGCCTGCATGCCCACCAGTGGCCCTGCTTGGTTCCAGGTGAGGTGGGCCGGCTTGTCGATGCCCCTTCTGGCAAATTCCTTTTTGATCTCCCCCTTGTGCCATTTATTTCCTC